TCACTAAGCAAATGATCCACACAGACATATGAAGGCAACTCACAATTATTGTAACAGTTGGAGTTATTTAAGATAATTGATTAGACTGAACTTATTGCAAGCAAATGTCAATGACTGACTAAGCAAATGTTTTCTGACCAGGTCCTTTAACCCTAAATGGGAAGGGGTTGGATTTCTTCCCCCCCCCCTCCCCTTTCTGTGTTATGGTAAAAAAAAAAAACAGGCCCCCCCCCCAAAAAAAAGGCAGCCCTACATTGTAGCTTTAGGGTAAAATTGGTATCCGGTCTCTGTTTGTACAAATGTGTGTTGAAATGTGTCGATTATTCATTTAACTAAATAATTTCATTGACCTGTAAGCATAGAGCTCTAAAAAGAATGTTAGCTTGAAGGTTTGTTGCTGTTCATGTCATGGTTGTGAATTCACAGTCATCATAAGTCTGTATTGCATGTTGGCGATGGTGTTATCCACCAGTTTTACACTTGTACAACAGTTCATGTACAAGGTAAGAATTCATAACTCTATGGGATGAATAATGTCCACTATGCAGCCCCAACCGCAGTCATTAACATGGGCTTGTCACATGTAAGTCTGAGATTGAGACAACCGAACCAGATCGTTTATTTATAAAATGTCAGATGTCCTGTCTTGATGCATTGCCCATCGTCTCTTGTGGGTGTACAGTGAAGTCATACATGCAAGGCAGTCATTTGAGAATGGCATATTGCAGGGTTGAATATTAAAGTAGTGTGGTTGATTCGCTATCGGTCTCGCTGAGGTTTGAGTTCCAAATCACTTGATAACGGCGATTTGAATTAAAAGCATCCAGAATTTCAGATATTGCTGCAGGTCGACTTGAGATTGCGATTCACTATTTTGATGACTTTTGGCACTACAATTTTGCTGTACATAATTGTCACCAATGAGGGATATATTTTACAGTACATGGAAGGTAACCATGCATGCACAGAATCAGATAGGGACTGAAAACCAATCAATATATCAGCCTCAGTTGGATTCGAACCCGGGCCACAGAAGTATAAAAAAGGCAAGAAAAGGGCCACTGTGCAAACTCCCCCAGTTGCATTTAATACCCACCGCTTAAGTTGGAAGTAATCCAGCATATTTGCTCAAAACTTTGGAATGTTTTGGTCAGTCATTTTTTTTTATGCCAGACTTAATGTATATCCCTGGGAATAAGCTTATGAAAAGCCACTGCTCTCTTGCATGCAAAGCTTTTGCCAAATTCCCTCAGAAAGACTAATGCCACGAAAAAAACAATATATAGGAAACTCGACACCGCGCTTGACAGCTGTTGTGAATTTTTTTGGTACGCGATCACCTAACATGAATTTTTTTTATAAGTCAATATTTCTTGGTCAAAAAAGTTGCGTGCGTCTGTCACTTGTGTGCCACCCCCACACTATTTCAGGGAAAAAAGTGTGGGTTATTCTGTCGTGTATTTTATGCAAAACATCCGCAAGGAAATTTACTCAATGACTTTGGGTTCAGGAGGGGAGGGACAGGGCTAAGGTTGCCTGGAATTTACATCACACCTCGTTAATTGGGCCCATGTGCTGCAGACCATAGCAGTCATATGGCTGTAATTGTTAAAGATGGAGACATGTTAGAGGTCCCAGTGTAATATGGTTCAGAGAAACTCAGGCCATAGTTTCCTCTGCGCATATTTCAGTTAAACACTGTCGCAGTTGATGGTTGTCTGGAGTACACATGTAAACTTTGAAACGGGATATCTTGCTATAAGGGCTCTGCAGCAGCAAGGTTGTATAGGCAATCTCTCACAAGTCCTCATCACAAAGTTATCACAAGTCAATTACATGTCCTCCAGTCTCAAGATTGTAGTGACAGCTACGCTATTCATATGAAATGTGGCATTTGAAGGCATTCTGTTGTCACGTTTCATTCCATGTTGCTTGACTTGACTTGTGGTTTGATTTGTGACCTTAGTTAGGATCGACTTGTGTTTGACTTGTGATCATAATGTGATGAACTTAACTACATCTCGCTTCAAAAGTTTCTGCCTCATGTCTGCCTCTGTTCACTGGCTCATGTTTTCTAATAAAATAATTGTCAGCCTGACCACTCTGCGTTTGTAACTCAACAAACACGAATCTCTAGTTTCTTTCTTTCTTCCTTCCTTCCTGTTTTTTTCCCTGGACAATAATTCTCCACATTTGCCATAGTTCATTTTGATATATTTTTTTTATTGTAAGGACGCAATAAAAATATAGTAGTTGAAATGAAGTTGGTAGCCTGATAGACTACAGATACTGATATGGAAGTCGCTTTCAGCCATAATGACTGGTAGTGATGTAAACAGATTTCCATGACATCACATTTGATGTCAAAACTAAAAAGTCAATGATTTTTTCATCCGTTCATGTATATAATGAGTTCCCGTTTGATTTATTTTCATCGTGGGCAGTGCATCATTCCAAACTGTTAATAGAGATGGTCACGACAAGTAAACATCTATTTCTGTTCCTCATAAAACTAGTCCGTAATGCCAGGGAACCTGTAACATTATCGCTCAGGTCCAAGTTTTATTGGCCTTCCTGCTGCTGCTGAGCGGCATGTTATTGCACGCTGGCAGCTAGCAGGGGTTGGCTCGATGTCTCCTCTTTTCCTTTACCTAAAATGGTTGGGATTTGGTGCAACGAAGTCCTTGCGGTGAAGTTGGTATAACCTTCTGAGCCAAATGTAGACATCATTTATTCATTATAATCGTAAAAACCTTGGACATTAATTTGTTGGTCCGAATCAGTCTAAATCAGCCATTCAGTGGAAAACCAATGAAACATTTACTTGCACTTCAACTTTTGAGAGGCATAAGGTCAAGCCTCATGTAAAAGAAAAAAAGCTTGGCTGCACCTTCCTCAAAACCTTTTGGAGGATATTTTGAAACATCTTGGAGGATTGGATTGAACTTTATCAGTAAAACTAAAGCCATTTACTTCATCAATAAGCCAGTTTGGTATCTCGATAAGGTAGTCCAGGTCAAATGTCATTCGGGATAAAATCGCTGACGCAATGTTACGCGAACGCCTACTCTGCTCGTAATGAATTTGCGAGCGTCATGCGACCGTCTCCCTGCGCGTTCATGTGCCTTTGATGAGCGTTCGATTATCCCGAATAACCCGTGACCAATATATTTGTGCACATTGGCAGTTGAAATACCATACTGGCTTACTGCATGGATTTCTGGGGGAGCAAGGTCTCAAAACATACAGTTCCTGTGCCACTTCTGTCGAAAAGACTTTCTTTAATGCCCACAGCATTTATGAGAGGCAGACCCCAATTAACATGCCAGATCCCTGTCAGCTGAAGTAGCCTCACACTTAACTCATTCTCCTCTTCAAAAAGTCCTGCCTCATGGCTCCCCTATTGAAACCCATCCTATAATTACCAGGGTGGATCCATAGTTGCACCAACAAAAGGTCCCGCTTTTACCGAGTGAGGTATTTACATAGTGGCCCTTGTGTCTTCCGGGTGGAGCTTTCTTCTGGTAGAGTTGTGCTCTTGGGATCCCATGCCGTGGGGCACATACATACTGCAGGTACTTTTGTCTATGGGTCTGTGTGTCCCCTCGCAGAGGATGCTCATTCTGAGGAGCTTATGTTGTTGTCAGAGATGGAGCTCTTGTAAAGCGGACCTGTCTTGAGATTTGTTGTTTTTGGGGTGCTGATGTTGGGCCTGTCTTGTACTCTTGGGATGCGTATTTTTGGAGGTTGTCCTTGAGTGGTTTTCCAAACTGAGGTTTCAACTCCATCTCTGGAGTGTTCAAACTAAGCGAACAAACTCTTTTTGAAAATAATGAATAATGAAAGGTTTGCGGAAACACCATGTGCGAATAATTTCTCAACTAAGAGAATGGTTCTGAAAAGAACCAGAGGTATAAACTCTTTCTTTATTTAGTATCTCCACCATGCAAAGCCTCAAATCTTACTTATCTTTTTGAAGAGTTTGTCTGAACATTTTGTAGGATTTAGAGTTCCTAAAACTGAACACTGACACTATACACACAGCTGTAGTACCCCAAGTTAGGAGCCTAAAATCTTTTGAAGACAAAGCCGGGAAGATGAAGCTGAGGTTTAGGAAAAATCCTCTAAGAAAGGAAAGGAGGGCATTTTGGTTTCTCATCATGGGTTGTTGATTTAGTAAGTCATGCATTGTGGACTCTATAAGACCTTCTTGGACTGGTTCATATACCTGTGTAAAAAAGATCTATATGTGAGAAGTCCACAAACCTTTTTTTGGAGAACAATTCCAATTGTTATATTAATTTGTGGGCTTAAAACATTATAATCGTTGCGTTGTCAACGAAAAGTAGACAACACAAGATTTATCAATTTTTTAGAGCCTGCAAGATTTGTTAGGTAATACAAATATGTGTGTTCCTTGCTCTATGGTCTATCACTGCAAATAACCGATACATTCTCAGTTTCCTTCAGTTCACAGTGTCCTCAAAATCTCTGTCATTTACAATTTTGAGTTCCTCAAGAAACTTCAATAAGTACTTATTACCGGTTTCACACTTTGCCGACACCGCAAACAACAACAAAGTAGATTGCTCCTAAAATTAAGACCAACACCCCCCATTGCTTCCCTCTTTACAAACCCTAATTGTATTGTCGCCCCTATTATGTTCCTAATCTGCCCCCCTCACCCAGGTGTTAACTGCCTGTTCAAAGGGGAAGTGTGCCTCCAGTTTGGGTGTGAAACTGGGTGTTTGTTATCAACCCTGGGGTCACGGTTTTCCATGAGAGGTTTAATTGAGTTGTTTAAGCGCCAGACAGTTCTACTCTCTGAAAACAGACACAAACAAAAAAGAGAGGGATTTTTTGCCCTCCTTGTTTTGGGGGAATGTGGAGAAACTCTCCCTTGGTGGTCATTTAACCTCGGTGTTCCACTTGTTTGCCCCTATGTCCACCCCTCAACCTGACATCATATCTTTAAACCAGTGTTTATTTCTGTTTTCTAGGAATGGTATTTACTATGATGACTTAGCTACAAAGGCACAAGGACAAGGAAGGTATGTACAATGTTGTCTTCCTTTCAAATGGAATTCTGTTCCCTGTCAACTTACTTCTCTGTTCTAATTTGTACTCTTCTTCTACAATTCCTTGACTTATTTTTACTTGTTATAAACCTCTGTTAACACCAATTTAACACTCTACATTGTGAACCTTCCCCATCTCTTCTCACTCCTAGCATCATTTCATTATTACCTCTAAAAATTTCCCCTCCGGAAAAAAAAGGAAAGAAATGAGATAAGAACTTTTGGGTACATGATATAGCAACATATCCACTGACGTACAAATGGGCCTTGAAATAATTAACCAAAAGATACCAAGAGCACTTGGAGCAGTATACTCGTCAAGGAACCCCTTAGAAAGTGTCTTTGACTAGTTTCAAGAGATAGACCTCCCATATGTACAGCCTCTCGTTACACACTTACAAGTAGAGACTAATACCGGAGCACCTACTTCAGTTGAAGTGTGCCGCTCCCTAAATTGGTGGACAATGCCCGCCGTTCCCACTTGTGTAACCGACCCACAGGCTGCCGAACCTCTCATATTTTAAAGCACTCTTTACTTCAACGATACTTCACACTTCTCCCAAACTTCAAAATCTTCTGAGGATGGAGTATATAGGGCTTGCTTATCTGAGGGTTTTGGGTCGCTCAATGCTACTGCACTTTTTCGGTATTTCTGGGTCTTGTGTGCAACTCTATTTTTATGGTTTGATTGTGGACTGGCAAATTGAAAAGGTTTTGCTATAACAGGTTGCGAAATTCCCTAAAGTGAGCTTTTGGTGTGAAGTGCGAGGGGTGTTCAGCACTGTACCCAGCAACCAATGTTTGCATTTCAGGTTCATTTTTATTGGGAATGATTGTGTTTGCTCTCTTGTGTTCTTAGTTCACAATTTATGTTTTTTATTTGCATTTCATTTTATTTTCTGTCATTTTGCTGTCCTCCTGGGACCTTTGTACATGTAATTTAAGTTCTTTATGACTTGAAACTGCTGACTAATATTGGGTTTACACGAAACTTACTTCAAAGGGCGCGCTACACAATAGATAGTTTTATGGAGAAAAGATATTTTAAAAACAAAAAGCCTATCTCTGAGTCCTGCCGAAATCCCAGAAATAACCCCAGATTTCACTTGAACAATTCACTACAAAAACAAGTATTGCACAGGACAAGAGTGATGATACCGAAGCGGTCACTAAACCACGTGATCGCTTCGGCCCAGCAAATCGGTGACTGCTCTATGTTCCGACACCCCTATGTTCTGTCACCCTTATGTTCCGACAACCTGCACATAAGATTGTGTTACTCCTAGTTAGGGCATGGAGGAATAAGAACACATTATTCCTCCATGGTTAGGGTTAGGGTTATGGGTTAGGGATAGGAATATGTGCAGTCGGAACATCGGTGTGTAACCAGCAGATTTGTTCCCAGCTTGACCGTTACGTCATCGTGTCTCCCCAGACTACAGTCATTGAAAAGGGAGGGGTCATGTATCTTTTCTAGATTCATGGATTTTAGAAATCCTATATGAGAAGCATCATCATTGTAATATTTTGTTCTTCTTGGGGTCAAAAGTTTATTTGAAAGAATTGCAATTGGTAGTACCTTTTGATGCAAATATCTTAATGTACTGGGGATAGACCCTGGGACTCTGCCAAATATTTTTTGTGGATTTGTTTTTGTTTTCCTGGAATCTCACCCCTGCTCATGAAATGTGTTTTTGCTCTGTGGTTGAACCCATGTGATGGAATTTCACCATCAGGGTCCCGTCAATTCGAACAAACTTCTCCCAGAAAACTGTCCTTAATAATATAGATTAAAGGGGAGTGATTCTGTCCTTCTGGCTACTAGTTTGGCAAACAAGTATTGTTAAGCATGCAAACAGTGCCAGCCCGCACTGACCACACACTGCTCTCAAGAAAAAATAAGGAATGAAAAACTAAATGGAGACCCATAGTTGCTAGCTAGAGTCACTAGTCCCTATCATTGCGACAAATATTAGCTTAAGGTCCAACATTCGATTTCACCGGCCACTGCACAGGTATTGTTGACCGCCCCGCAACGGGGCTCACACTGCCCACCCCTGCTTACCGAATCAACGTCTCAGCACTTCTCATTACAAAAGACTCCGTGTAGTTTGTTTTTGGTCTGTTTTGTCAACCAAAAAACCCACCGCTGGTTCCCTTTGTAACCATTTGATTTAGCAAGAATCTTGGCAGAGGAAAGTGGCAACTAAATTCACCAATAAAAACAGCCAAACAACACCTAGCCTATTGAACGCTTCTCTTAAGCTGTTATTTTAGCCACCGCTGCAGATTTTTTTTGTGTGGCGCGTTTGAATTGATGGGCATTTTTTGTTTGTTTTCTTTATCACTTTTTATTCTTGTGGAGTTGTTACAAAATTTGGTAGGGGTCAGTGGAAGGCATTTTTATTTTTCTCTCTAATTTTGGGGTTACTTTGGGGCAAGTTGCAGGCCAAACTTGAAACTTGTCAGAGGGAGCAAAAAAAACAAACTCCTTTTTTTATTCAAAAAAAGAAAGTTTTGATATATTGTCCATCATTTTTTGAGGTATCAACTTCATCTCCTTTTCTAGTAATTTGTTTGCCTTTTTCCATTTTCTATTTCTTTTTTTGAATGACATAATGAGAACTCAACTTGCCAAATCTCTCATTTAGAAAATTGAAGTTTACTGGCTTTCAAAAAGTTTATTTGCATCTTGTTTTTGGAGACCTGTATGTATCCAAAAACTTGCCAGAAACTTAGTTGCGGATCATTTTGAGCATAAATTGCCATTAACAATAGATTTGATCTGAATAGACAAGGCTTCGCTTCGCCCCCTACACAGGGGGAAGTGGCTCCACCAACCATCACCCGCTAAGTTTCTTGTTGTGTACCATGGCCTGTTCTCACACACTGTTACAGCATACAAATTTGTCTTGAGCAAAGGATGTTTTCTTTTAGAGCTGACAAGATAAAAGCCTCCACAAGAGCCTGTGTTTGGGCTGGGATAACATCACTTTGCAGTTCCACATGGGTGGTACCATGGAGCTAGGGTGGTACACGTCATTATTGTTTTAACAAATCCCTGTGTAAGTAACTACATTACAACTCAACAGAATGTACACTTAATTGTAAGGGTTCCTGTAGTTCAACCATGGAGCTAGCTCCATGGTTCAACAGTGCAACTCCATTAGTTTTGCTGTGTCATGTCCACCGAGTATATATGAAAGAAGATATCATTTGTTAGATTTGTGCAATGAAGGCATACATGTATCTACTGATCATTGCACCCAAATACACAATAGTTTTTCTAGGTAGCATATATGGACTGGACAAGTTTTCGTAAAACAGGCACTTCTGCTGATCCCAGAGGGCCAGCATGCTAGTGCACCCTAGCTGGGGAGGGGGGGGGGGGGGGCATGTGCCCCAGCAGATGTCCCTGCCTCCCGGTCGCCCTCCATTTAAAATCTTGAATCGAACACAAATATGTTATGTTTGCCTCCTATTGCCCACCCTTAATTGAAAAATGTGTGCACCCCAAGAAGTTTAACCATAGTTACACCACTGGTTATGCATATGACTGACTGTCACTTGTGTCTCAGACTGTTTGCAGACTGGTAAAGAGAGCCGGGCAGTGCTATTGAATAGGATTACCTCATAACACAAATGAATCTGCTGAATCTGGTCCATTGTGTAGACAAGATGCATGGGAAGACTGCCAAAATTAATGAATAGACATTCTGAATCAATTTGATAGAATTTTGTCTGCTCTGGTCTGGGACCATGCAAGGCAATTAAAGCATACCGAAGCACTTCACTACAGGTTTAATTGCCTTCAATAAATTAGGTCTCAATTTAAGGAAAACCATTTAAATGTGCATTGAGCTGCAAACTTTGAGTACAAAAAGAATCACTACCAGTAGAACAGAGTACAGAGTATATACCCTGCACAGTACACACAGAGTATCAAGTGTCCTGCTGGTTCTTCTGCGCGTGTGTACATGTAGTACACACCAACATGACCATTGCCTTATTTGGGTGGAACCCTGCATTGGACGATGGAACCCTGCATTGGACATTGCTCACTGATAAAGACCTTTTTTTCTCCAGAGCTAAAATTTGTTGTCACAACTGGACATGACACTCCTCGGTCTTAAAATGTTCAATCTGGTATCTTTATAATATAAACATAATTAGAAGGACCCTAGGCTATTGCTGAATTAACATTTCATTTTTTTTTTGTGTATCGTAACGGGAGGAAAAATCTCTATCTAATGCTAGCTGAATTGGCTTAAAATAGCAAACGTTGAGATGGAGAGTTGATTTCTAGCCACAATTAAGAAAGGGATTTACCCGTTACACCCTGTATCTCCTTGCACAGCCCAAATCGCCCCACATTGCCCCGAGAAAATGTATGGTTTCATGAATTCCTCAGGGAATGAATACAATATATATGCGCCAATAGGTCTCTCTCAAATGACATCATTTCCTACAGACCAGCCATGTGCATCGGCATTTTGAGCATCAACTTGCATAACGCGCATCTGCTGCGTCGTATTTCGAACACATTTTGAGCAACAAGCGAGCGTGTTTGGAACTTTTTCAACACTGCGCAATGCGTGCTTGATTGCGTAAAATACGCAGTTGCAGTTCTCCTACAGAGGTGGCTGTCTTTGAGAGAGACCCGGGTTAAATGACAATTCAAGTTATGTCACTTCATAACCGGTTTGCAAAATCTGCCAGTTGAGTTTAGTGAACTACTACTTGGACCATTGCCAACAACTGCAGACATTAATTTTTATTTGTAGAGGGGGGTTTCTTGTTAACACAAGAATAAAAAAGTGTATATTTGAAGCTCAAGCGTTGCATGACAACGTCATATTTATCAAGCTTATGATACATTGAACTGATGACGTTTTTACTGCCAGGCCCTGTAGTTCTCTCGAAATCTGACCCCAATAAAAAAATTGAGTTGGGATTAGTTTGTCCCCGTAGTT